TAGCAGTGTCCCGTTTAATTGTATATAGTTGTTTCTCTCTTAGTTTAGAATTAGCGTTAGTTGTAGATAGTTGATAGTTGTTGGGGGGGGCGGTTCCGCTGGGGCATGCTCGGGTCCCCAGGGTTTAAACTCTGCAAAGACTGCAGGAAGTTTATGCTGAAGAGTGACCCGCACTCTTACTTGCTTACGGTGCCTTGGGGAGAGCCACCAGAGAGGCTGGTGCAATATCTGCGGGGGATTCCGTCCCACAACTCTTAAGGACAGAGAGCAGAGACTCAAGGTGCTCCGGATGGAGGCGGCCTTATGGCCGACCCGGCATCCAGCACCTCTTCCTCGGTGCGCAGCGCCGCGGCACCGCTAACAAGACAGGAGGCCCAGTCTGAAACCTCTAAGTCCCAGCACCGGAGAGAATCGGGACATAGAAAATCAGCCTCTGTAAGGCACCGATCACCATCTCCGATGCCTGCTAAAAAGAAGAGGCCGGTGAGGGGCCGATCACCCCACCAGGACCTTAAAAGGCCGGCGGTGTCCACGAGTGCAGGGGGACAAGCCGTGCCATGAACGCACCCTCCCATAGCTCTGTTGACTCCTGCCCCGGAGAGGGTGCGGTCAAGTCCAGACCGGTCGAGATCCCTGGACCTCAGCGAGGATGTGCATCTCCCATCGATGCCAGAGGCATTCAAGGCGGCCTCTGACTTATTAAACCTCCCGGTGCTGGCCTCTCCACACTGGTGGAAAGAGCTGCCAACCATGGCTTGACCCCTGATACAATCAAGGGGCAAGCCAGCCATGATGTCGCCTCAGTCCCCGCCCCGCGCCACCCCAGAGGCTTTCCTCTGTACCCTCAGTCTCTGCAGGGGCCTGCGGCACACGGTACTGTGGTTGCGTGGCCAGTGCGGATGTAGGATGCGGCACCGCGGCTGGTACCGGGGTCGACACCAAACGACGAGGCGTGCTGGGTGGTGCCTGCGGTGTCAGAACCATGATCCCTGCCGGTGCCGGTGTATGACTAGGGGGTGCCGAGCTTTGCGTACAGAATGCAATTCACCTGGTGGCATCCTACCTCCCGGGGGAGCAGAATGGACTGGCGGACACCCTCAGCCGCTCGTTCCATGATCACGAGTGGTCCCTTTGCCGAGATGTAGTACGCTCAATTTTCCGTCTCTGGGGCTATCCCCAGATAGACCTGTTTGCCTCGAGAGACAACAGGAAGTGTCAATGTTTCTGCTCCCTCATGGGACGCAGTCCAGGGTCTCTAACGGAGGCCTTCCTCCTCTTGTGGGAAGGTGGCCTGCTTTACGCCTTCCCCCTGATCCCCATGGTTCACAGGGTACTCCTCAAGATTCGCAGGGATCACGCTCGTGTCATCCTAGTAGCGCCGGCGTGGCCGCGCCAACACTGGTACACGTCGCTCCTGTATATGTCCGCACGGGCGCCCCTCACGCTGCCCCTGCTCCCAGACCTGATCACACAGGATCGGGGTCACCTCCGCCACCCGAACCTGGAGTCGCTCCACCTCACAGCCTGGATGATCCATGGCCAAACCCCGTGGAGATGCAATGTTCTCAGCAAGTCAGACAAGTCCTCCTCGGGAGCAGAAAACCCTCCACCAGGGCCATATACATGGCCAAGTGGAAACGCTTCTCCATCTGGGCTGAACAGCAGGGTCAAGCTCCATTGCTCGCCCCAATCCCTCTCATCCTGGACTACCTGCTTCATTTGAGACAGCTAGGACTGTCCCTCTCTTCGGTTTGGGTCCACTTGGCGGCCATCTCAGCGTTCCAC